ATAAAAAAAAGTCACCTGGAGAAGAAAACGAAAAAGAATCAACCGGTGCCTGTGTCAATGAAGCCATTAAAAGGGAAGAGTCGCTCTCCTCTAAAGAAATAATCGCACTAATCTACTTGAACCATTGGGTGTTATCTTTTTATTAGTTAGTGGGTGAGTCGTCCTGTTCCACAGCTTGGTGCAATTAGAGTGATTTCTTTATAGATTAGTTCGAAAATGTATCTTGTATTAAACACGATAAAGAAGGCCGTTTTTTGGACATCTGTTTATCTGCTCTTTCCGCTATGTTATCCAGAAAGTGATTCGCCATTCCCAGGATGTGCCCCTCAGCTCGATGGGAGATGAGCAATATAAAGATTTAGATCCATACGCACACATACATTGCAGATGTACCAGAGTGTGTATTTTTGGTGGTACAACTATGTAAGCGTTAGATGTTCTATAGTATCAGGTGGTGTATAGCATGTAGCTTTATCTGAAATAAATAGATTGCAGTTTATTTTGTTTTGAAACAAATAAATATTTGATACTTGCATGCACTTAAAATAAATGTTAAATTGTATTTACAAATGCAATAATATAAATAATTAATATTGATCCAACGTCTCTTCAGACGAGGTGCTAGAAATTTCTTCCTGCGAAAATCTATACACATCTGAAGATTGTGGTTCCTCCCTCACAGGCCCACAATAGCTCTTTGATGAGCTCTTTGAGGGTGGGGCTGTGACTCTTGATTTTAATGATAGGTCCATTGGCACATCTTCAATAGTTTCGGAACTTGCTTTTTTGTTGTATTTCTTAGACTTTTTGTAGACCTTAGTCCTAAAGCAATATTTCAACTGGTACTGCTCCAATTCGTGCTCCAACTGGGCTATGGCAACCGCCAGTTTGCGCCGACGCGCCAATAATGAGTTCGTCTGTGAGGCTGGGAGCTCTGCGCAGATTATTCCAATCTGCTTGTACTGCACCATAATATCTTTAATGCCCTGTTCCAAGGAGCGTTCCCGCTTGGAGAGGGGACTCGCCGAACGGGGAGGGGGCCGAATTATGCTCTTACCTTTTGACATCGATGGAATGCGATTCTTTGCCATAGCTGAGCATCCAACTGAGTGAAGATTGATGGTTTTATTTAGACTTACTTTGTCAACAATTTATGTACATACATACATATGTATGTACATATGTATGTGTGATCGATGTGAAAATCTTAATTTGTGCCGTGCAGGGCTGCAGTGTTACGATGTCATCGCGTGAGGAATTAAAATCAAAAGGCTAAGAGACGGATAGACGAATGTTCGTTAGATCTAGCTTTATCTTACCTCTTTCAATTTCTTATATCGAAAAAAAATAGTTTCCAACTAAAATCTGTCGAATTTTGGTTTTCAAACTGCCTATGTGATTAGATGATTGTTGAAAATCAAATCTGGTATGAAAATCACAGCAGAAGACTGTCATTGTCATCTGAGTTGGCAGTTCAGGAACTGTACCAAAATCGTGGCAGCTTTAAATAATAATCGATATATCGACGGCTTAGGTAGCCCTTCTCAAAGCAGATGGTGTATGACAAAGACGCCATTTCTAAGTACTGTCGCCATATTTCGATTTTATTCAACAAGCTCGTACATTGAAGATAAAAAAAACCATTAATGTGGCCAACAGAAGTGCATAGTCCTCGTGGTGGTCCCCCGCGGAAGCGTCCGAGGCGTTCCAAACGTAAGTCCTCATCGGCAAGACCACGGCCATTCATAAAACAGTCTTGGTTCACGGACAACGAGCGCTGGGTGGAGCATAATGTCGTAGACTTGAAGATGCATCAGGAGTTTAATCGCATCTCGTGTGCTTTCTTGCCACCTGATGTGGCAGAACCAATTAGAGCGCGCTCGCGCAAACTGGATCTCGACATTGCCAAATTGGACAAGGATTTCTTGGAATACAAGTCGGAGTTCTGCTCCAAAAAGAAGTCTACCAGACAAGCGTTCGTAAAACACGAACCGCTCTCCAACAACAGCAATGGGAGCGACGATGATGACTTCAACCAAGCACTACGTGCTATAGCCATCAAACACGAGCCACTATCAGCAGAGAGTGATAATGAGGATACCCTTGATGTATGTGGCATCTCGGGAGATTAAAGTCCACTGGAGCAGCTCAAGAAGGAGTACTGAGAGAAGAGCCCCGAATATGCATTTTAAAAAAGAAAACTTGTCACAAATAAAAACAAATGTGTTCCAAATGTCAGTCGTTATACATACATATATGTATGTATGTTGGCTTGGGCGTTATTTTTGGAAAGAACAGAAGAAGTCGCGACAGATCTGGTCTCATAGGAGTAGGACGATCTAAGATGGCATTAGATGCTTGTTCAGATATAGTATGTATATATAATTATTCAACATATAATTGGATTTGTAATTTATTAAGACTACAATAGGTGTATGATATCTACCAATCGGCTGTTTGGCATTAACTTATCTGTTTAAAAAGCTCTCTTTCTGTCTCTGTGTATGCAGTTATGTAAAAGGATGATGTACTTTTGCAAGGGTATTTGGGCTCCGGCGTACACAAGAATTAATGCACTTGCCATGCCTCTGGCTGTGGTTGTGCGTTCCAAGTCGTTGTTTTGTGTGGCAAACACTGCCACGTCTAGTCTGGGCACCCACAAGCCGCACTCTGCATACTTGACTTGAACTCGCCGAGAATAATAGTTGATGATGCTGCCAGCTGACCTTAATCACAAATTTGCATGCGCATTAGCCGAAGGCAACAGCCACAATAAGCGAGTGAGCCACAACAAGCACAACCACAGCTCCAGCTGCAGTCGAGCATCTTGCAGCTGCGGTCTGCGCATGCGCATGCGCACAGGTGCTGTTGGAAAAGTTGCTCCAACTGAAAAGTTCGCTGCTACACCCACACACGACGCGTCGGCACGACACGGCGACAAAACAATTGCCACGACCTTAGCTTTAAATCAATTGATTTCCAGACTCCCTCCCCCAACCCGTGCTCCATCTGAGTGTCTCTGTTTGCCAGCCTTTGATTACACGTCGCGCTATAAATTTGTGTCACAACTTTAGCAATTTTTCATAATAGTCGTAGAAGCGAAACCAGTTGGCGGGCAAAGCCGCATATTTGCTAAGGTCGTTTGGCAACAATTGGGCGCTGAAACCCGTTGGCTGTGAAATGGAAATGGCTGGCACAATACGGCCAACACCCGCAATTGACAAGAGTTTTCAGAGTTTTGCAAATTGTGGGGCTACGGCTGCGGCTGTGGCTGTGGCGGCGATTGCTGCAGCTGCAGTTTCAGTTGCCGTTGATTTATGCACTCCAAGGCAGCAGCGAAGGCCACAAATGCGAGCATTTTTGCTGTTGTTGTTGCTCTTGTTGCCATTATTGTTCTTATTGGTCCAAATATGTGTGCCGCAGGCTGCTGTGCACATATGGCAAAAATTGTCAACACGTAACCATAACCACAGCCACCGCTCCGAGCACAGAGCCATAAACGCCGCACCACTCATGATAACTATCAAGTATTGATCATATGCAAGCGACTGTGGCATGTTCATGGCTGCTGCGAGTACCCGACTGTCTATTAATTAAGCAAAAAACAAATAAGAGCCTCTGTACAATTTTGTCAACAGGCGCAAACAACACGTTCACCTATTACAAATTGCTCTTGCCACTTTGGCACGTCAATCGCTGCTGCTGCTGCTGCCACATCGATTCCACCGGACTGGTCGTCAGTCAATATGCTTATCGGTGGCGAGCAATCGTGCGAGCACTATGAAAATGGCCGGGGCATGCATTCCGCATGGGGCAGCAATCCAATCATAATTTATTTGCAACGCGTTGTCCACATCATCTCCAGATCTCCCTACGAACGTATGTTCATACATACATACAAGTACATATGTATGTATTTATGTGACGGCAGGCAATTGAATTTTCCAGCGAAGAAGCTGGATGGAGCACCCTTCTTTCTATTTCTATTCCATCCAACCATCAGGCATCAAGCTGCCTGTCTGTCTGTCTGTCAACGCGCCTCCAAACTGAGCTTCAAGGTAATACGGAATATGTTTAAGGAATTATGGTCTTGAGCACAATTCTAGAGAATTATTGGGTGAGCATTTTGGAAAAAGCTTATTCACATACATATGTATGTATGTCTGTAAAACTGTCTTGTAAAATTCCCTTGAATGCAGTATAAATTGTATAAACTGCAAATATCGTCTGCCAAATTAAAAATATACACGAAATTACAACAGTTCCACAGAATCCAGAACAGCACAAGCTCAAATTTTATTTCAGTTTTTGATTTCTGCATAACAAATTCATATAAACTTTTCTGCTTAAAAGCCCGTTCAACTTGGCGATGAAGATAACTTACGTATTGGGTATTTCTGCCCTGCCTTATTAGCCAATCAGCTTTTCTTTATCTTTATCATACTACTTACATAAAGACATAAGTAAACTAAAGAAACTAAAAATCAAAAATTATTTATAATGAAGTACGAGCACTTTCGATTTGAAAGTTTCTTTTGAAACTTACTAAGAATATCATTTAAAAATTTGTCTGCTACACTTACTGATTTAATTAAAATTAAATTTTAAAGCCAGTCTTTTTAAGCAAGTCTGGAATTCTAAGCACATTACATTCATATTTATTAACACCCCTGTCTCGTTGGAAATCTGTATTATTTGCCAACCACAATTACAGGTGTCTCGCTTAGAGAAGTTATGCGTTGCAGGAATACCCCATTGTTATTATAATCAACATTCATTGTGATATACTTTATCGATTGTCGCTAGCAGTGACGCAACACTTACGTACTTACCGTACTTTCCCCATTTCGATTAAGTCAATTATTTTACCAGTGCTGCCTTTACATATTTTTTTGTACTTTTTAGAATTGCTTGATAACTTAAAGTCAATATATCCTCGCTTTATTTGTCAAAACAGATTGTTCAGTGCAGAGGCTAATTTTGAATAGAGATATAGGTTAGCCAAAATAAAGGTGAGCTACATATTCCTAAAACGTTAACTGAAGAGTTACCTCTAAGCTTTCAGTTTCTAGTATTTCCTACAGAATATCAAAAGTCTTGGTGAAAGTTAAGTTCTTTAATATTGTATTCTCATATAGAGAGCTTGTAGGGATACCGAAATTTAAGTTAAGCCTATTCTAGCTGCTTCTGTGGTACACTGATCGAAAATACCGATAACTGGCTGGTGCTGGAACTATTTGGTTAACGACATCAACGGTGCACGTAAGACTACGCTAAAGTTTTGTCTTTCATAGATTTTGGCTAAGTTGCTATTTGTTCTTAGAGAAAAGTTTCAAGATGTCCGAGAATCGTACTCCACGCAGCTCACGAGTTCGTCCCCGCGGCTCCAATTCTCCGAATTTGGGTGTGTCCCGCCGCGAAAATTTGGCCTCGGACCGTGAGCGGAACGAGGTTGTTCGGCAAATAATCTACAACTACAGGCGTACATGGACCCTTTTGAAGAATATGTCTCCTGCGGAGAGGAAGCCGCGCCTAGAAGGCTTTCTTCAAATCACGCTTACATCTCTCCGTCTATTTAAGGAGATAAACAATGACTTTGATTTTTTCGCTCCTGTAGAGGCTTCTGACGAGGAAAGCGATGAAGAAACTGCCGATGCCCAGGGACCCGCTGGCGGTACTGGGGATCCAATGAACAATAGAGGAAATGCAGCTCGTCGTCGTCAAAATTTAGGAGATACGCTGGTTATTTCTGATCCAGAAGTGTCCAGTTCCACTTCCTAAAGAGTGTTCTTTAGGTGGGGGACATTTTGCGAATTCAGATGTCCCTTTAAAACACACAGAATTATGCATTCGTAGTAACAAAACATACACCTACATAACACCTAAGTGTTCCCGAAGATTTGAAAAGTTTAGCTTTAACAGACACCGGATGATGGATATTCAGTATCAGAGATATCCATCAACTATCCACGTACTTAACACGTACTTTACAGTAAGTTTGAGAGACGCATAGATGTAATGCAGTAATATTTAAATATTCTGAGCAGAGAAACAAAACACAAACCTGAACGTAATAAAAATTGTAATCATCCCCATTGTAATGAACAAGTGTTTAAAGTATTTAAAACTCGCTGCCTTGTTTTCGGCACAATTTGTTAGACTTAGTTTGTGTATCCTGTAGAGCGTGGAATCGTTCTTCCATGGGTAACACTAAGATGTGCTATATGCAAATATTTCTTCGTCGATATCAGATGACGAAGCTAGTCGTGTTGACATCTAAATTCATCTAAGTGTCTTTCTTTCGCATAATTTGAATGTGTGAAAATAAGTTAATACGGTATTTATTTGTTTAAAATATAAAACATTGCATTTTGTCTTCTTTTAAAGATATACAAGTATGTGTAATAGTTGTTTATTCTCAACCATAAATCTCTCATAGTATTGTTACTTTTTTGATTATGAAAATATCTTCAGCAAATCTGGAATCTGAGTTATGTACAAGTATAGAGCTTCATGATATTCGTAAGCCTTAATTCATTAATGGCTGATTCCCTCCCCTTGACAGTGCCTCTCCTTAATTGTCCTTTATTTATTCCATTTTGCATCTACTTGTATATTCTATTTAGTTATGTTTTTTTTCGTTCGGCAGATGCCAAGCTTCAATTTGAACACAAACTTGCGGTTGTTAACGACAAATGACAGGCAGGCAGGCGGCTATGAATTTAACGATGAGCCAATGCTGATGGTTCTATGAATGGAGCAGCCTATGCGGGTGCTTGGAACCCAGCCCAGGCCCGGGTCGGCAACTGGCCGAGCAGGTTTGTGTCTGACTGCTCCTGCCACAAGTTCACTCGCCTGTAATTAATGCGCCGGCAGCTGCGCGATTGCTCAGCAACCGCTGAGACGTCGAGCCGCGGCACGCCCGCGCCCTCGCCCTCGAGTTGCTTATCTGAACGATTGCATATTAAAAATCTTTATAGTCTTGCGGTTTGTCTTTGCAGTCTTGGGGCCGTTTGGCATGCCTTCGATTTAGAAAATGTCGCAATGCGGTTAATGTGCAAGTGCGTGTGTTGCACTAACAGGATGGGTGAGAGGCGTGTGTGGGAAAATGTGGCCGCCACAAGTGATTTACAAACTTGCAGCCGCAGTCGCAGCCACAGCCACAGCCACAAGCTTGCGGGTGAAATGAGCACCAACTTATATGTGTATAGTATTTGTATATAGAACTATAAACTGTGACTGTGACCGATTCCAATCGGACCCTCAATTACGACGACGCCAAACGGAGCGCAGCGCATTAGAAGATTGCAATCAGTTGGCGGCGGCGGTTCGATGTTTCGATGGTTTGGCGGTTTGGCGGTTCGGATACGACCTCCTACAAGTCTTTGACAGAATTTTTATTTAATTTCCCTCGAAAATGCTGACTGATTATCCAACTGATAGCCGGCAGTTGTTGCTCGTCGCTGGCACTCGTTTTTATTGGCCATTGGCCATTGGGCCAAATGTGCGGCGTTGGCGTTTCAAAGCTAAACGCTGAAAGCTGAAAAATGCAAAATTGCATTTCATTTGGCCAAATTTATGTGGCATGCAAATGAACGCAGCCAGCGCCTTTGTCACATCACCATGAGCATCAGCATGAGGAGCCAGCAGTCAACCTACCAGGTCATCGTCATCGTCGTCCTCATCTATGCCATGCGGCTCATAAAACACGCCAAACACTTTGGCCGTAGTCGCAAAAAAAAGGAAACAGGCCCATAGTTAAGTGCCCTCGACTAGCAGATATGCTATACGAATGCTGGATAGCATATAATATACATATGTATGTATATTAATTGTTATTATATTTTTGAACAATTATTCAGTGTTGTCACATAGAAATGTTTCGTTTCTAATTATTGCTCCAACATTTCTTAATTTTACTTAAACAGAGTGCGAATAAAGAATTCTCTTTTTAATGACTCCCTCGCAAGCGTAATAATCTGTCAAATTATTCAGTTTCTACATTTTTATTTCACTTGATATCTAGTTATTGCAAAGTAATCGCTTGATGGTACCAAAGCATCATTAATCGTACTGTGGATCCCGCTAATGCCATCAACCACCCACAAGAGTACTTGAATTAATCAAAAGAGGCTTTTTACGATGTTTGTAAAAGCAAGTTTGAATTTATTTTAGAAGTATGTTGACTAATATGATATTATTATCATCTCTAAGATCATCTCAAGACTTAACAACAACCTATGTGACACTTGAATCTGAGTGTGAGCCTCAACCAATGTCTTGGATTGGATTATTTTCAATCGTATGTTGGGGTACTGAGAATCTTTAGTAACACACTTGGATCACAATTATGCCTTCATCTCCAAGAACAAATGATTTTCCGCTATTTTGGGCAAGTGAGTGTGGCGCTGGACTCTCTTTAATTTACTGGCATGTTGAGCTAGTTTTCCAACCATGTTTTAATATTATCCCAACAAATTCTTGCTTTAATTTTGATAGGACCGTTTAAGGGTGTCTTCCAACAATATCTCTTCGTTAGCTTCTCTGTTATTACAATTTACGGATATCTTTATTAAATTTATATTAATATCGCCTATAATTAAATGCAAGCAAGTCTTTTGTTACTTGCAACTGAAGTAGAAATGTATATACCCTTCTCGGCGTTGAAGTGCAGGGTATAAAGAGGAGCGCATCCAATTTGTGTGGCGTGTTGTCGTAAAGTTTTTTGGGCAGCCCGGCTCACTTGCTGCAGTTGCTGTCACACATTCATTTGGTTTTTATGAGCACGCGGGCTTCTTGGCTACCATTGCCAGCAGGATATAGTCAGAGTCGGAGGAGTCAGGATGTTGGAGGCAGGAGTATGTTAGCCGCATGCTGGTGGACTACACCAGCACCTTGCTTGATTAGAAGCAACGAGCAGCTGGCAGGTGGCTCTGAACTGCGTCGTGTCCTTTCGGCTCTGGCATGTGGTTGTTCATGTGCTTGTCTCGGGCTCTGTTTCTGTTGATTTACGTGCGTGCTTATTGCTTTCCGCTCTGCTCTGCTCTGCTCTGCTCTCCTCTGCTCAGCAATAATTCCACAAATATTCTGCCAGTTGCACACCCACTAAGCAACCACACCACACCACAACACTCAGCTTTTGCAGTTCATGATGTGTGTGAGTTGCTTGAGAAATGAGTTGAATTTTTCAGCACATCCGTTCAAGTTACTTTGTCAAAATGTTTGGTCGACCGATTGGCGCCCGTTAATTGTGCAATTAATCTAGCATTAGGCGCTGGCCCATCTTCAAAGCCACCGCATTAGATCGAGCAGCAAGTAAATTAACAATTGGCAGCATGGCTGGTCTAGTCTAGTCGAGCCGCCGCGTTGATTCGAGTCGAGTCGAGTCGAGTCGAGTGGAGTCTGTCGAGCCACTTGCAACGATCCGGCAATTGCAATTTGTTTAGCGCATTTGCAATTACCGATCCGAGTCTGCTAGTGGCGTGGCGGCTTAGCCAGCTGCCACTCGTTGCTCGAAATCTCTGTCGACTGGGGGGCTATAAATAATGAAATTTCGATTCCAGCAGCTCGTAACAAGCGACGATGACTACGACGATGACGATGAAGGAGATGACGCCCGTTCATCAGCTCATCATCAGCGACGCAACGGTCAGTGGAGCTTGTCCGGCCCCTCATGTCGCAACCTTGATCGTGCCGCACACCTTTTGTCAACAAATCATATAGAGTGAGAGTTTGAGCTGAAGTTGATTGGCTCGACTCTATACTCGTACAAGTCTATATCAGCATACGGTGCTGTTCAATAAAAATCAAAGTGGCAGCCACTTGGCACCTGCAGCTGCTACTTTTGGGGCTGCTGGCGTTCCATTTATTCCCATGGTGCCTCCTCTTGATTACGCCATAAATGCCCAGCCAGCTGCGTGAACTCATAGGGTAATTGATTATGTTTGTAGCCCTGCTACCACCAAAAACAGCAAAATAATAATAAAAGAAAGAAGCAGAAATCATTCAACGATACGCATGCGCCGTTGCCGTAATGCGTTAATTTATTTACGGCAGCACTGTGAAGATGCGCCCAAAGTGCGTGCGAAACTTGCGGCAGCCTTGAGCCGCACAGTGGCAGGCAAGAGGTGAGAAGAAGTGGCTGCCACTGTTTCCACTACTGTAAATACTATACACACAGATGCGATATAGTTTATTATATTTGCCTGATACTTATATAAATACTCGTATTGTTATCAATAAAGAGGAATCGTTGAAATGGTAAGAAATCATTTTGTGATTTGATTTGGTCGGTTTGATTAGAGAATGCTTGATATGTGCCTTTAGTTTACTTGTTATATGGGCCTAAGATTATAAGATTATATTTTTACGAACCAATAAATAAAAGATGCCTGAAAGAGCTGGCTTTCAAGACGTACAAAAATATATATGTATATATGTATATTTCTCCTCTCTAAGCCACCCTCCACTAGCGATTAGAAAAGGTTCGCGAAATACGACCAATATTTTATCATACGTTGTCATTCTTTATTGTTCCTTAGTCTGTCTAACTAATTCCAACACTACGCCCTAGTTATTATTTTCTCTCTTAAACGTTAACAGTTTTCTACAATCTTTGTACATCTCGATGCTTTAATTCACCGGCTACTATTACTCACACCTTCCTGCTGTTCCATTGATTTCCACTTTATGTTCGCCACTTCCAATCCGAAAATACAAGTAATTCATTTATGGAAATGGTGTGCAATTAAGCCCTTTTATTGCTACAAGTATGAGAAGGAGAATTGGCTTACCTATATCGGGCCCATTTCACACTTAATCCGCAGCTCTGCGCCAAAGACTTGCAGCTTCCATGTCGTCGCTATTTGCGCAATGCGCATACGCCGCGTATCACACGGGCAATTTTCTGAGGCGACGTCAATTTTTAATAATTGACAATTAAATAACAATAATTGACAATAAATATTAAAGCGACTAGCGTCGCAATTAATGGCGCGTTTTAGCCATATACAGCGACAGCATCATATAGTCGGCTACTCAGTCGTCAGTCGACGTCATAGCGCCGGCACTGGCTGACTGACTGGCTGACTGACTGACTGAC